CTCTTCTCCTGGCTTCCCGGATGCAGGGGTTTTTTCCAAGACTTACCTCATCCAACTGTCCAATCAAACCCTGCAGTTCTGTCTTGGTGCTCAGGTCCCAGTCCGAAGGATTGTGTGCTTGAAGAAGCTCGTTTTTCACTTCTCTCGTTCTCCTGAGGACCGTCTCTATTTTTAAAATGGAATGATTCTGCCCCAGGTCAAATGCACGAGTGGTATCTGCTTCCTCTTCTAAATCCAAGTACTTCAATAACTGGTTGATATCTTCCACCACCTCCTTCCGGTAATTTCTGATTTCTGTGCGGCCGCACACGTCTAAAGCATCCAGATCAGCCATCAGCCCCGAGAGCACACAAGATAAGTGCCTGCAAGTCTCATTACTGTTCACTCCCATAAGAAGGGCAATCAGAGTGCCTCTGGCCTTGTTCACTTCACACATCACGGAGTTAATTTTGGCAACTGAGGGATGCGCGTCCTCAGAAAGCGGCAGGGAAGGCTGCTTTTTCGTGCAGTCCTCGATAATCTCTTGCACTGCACAGATTTTGGTTAAAGTGTGATACCGTGCTTTCCGCAAGGAGATCTTGCCTCCAGTTTTAACGTGTGTCAGCCTCAAAATGACATCCTGAATGCCTTCTTCAAACTCATCAGTTACACAGTTGCCTCCACTATAAAATGGCACAATCTTCTCTTTCACTAGGGACTGGGCTTCTTTAAAAATGTTCTCTATTTCGATCCTGTGTGGGTGGTTTGCATTCTGCTCCAACTCTTTGAGAAGCCGCTCTGTCTCTTGTGCTGCCCTCTTCCTAGCCTGCTGAATATCTCCTTTTCCTTCAGTATCTACCGAGTCTATTTCAAAAAGTTGTCTTGTTAGGATCCTCTCCAGTTTCTTGTAATTCTTGTCGTCTGACAGACCGCTGAAACCAATTACTTGCTGTTCTATGCTTTTTACCTCCTTTTGGATTTCCTGAAGCCTACTAATAGAAGGATGTTGGTTTCCCATCTCCATACTTTTGTTGTGTTCAGTTTCACAAGCACTAAAAGATGACAAACATGATAACTTATTACACCACAAAGCCTGCAGAACGGTAATCATATATTAATTCATTCTACCAAGATATGCTTAAGAAATACGGCTTGTTATTGCGATCCCAACAACAGTCACACTCAAGTACAGAAATTAGAGTGACTAATCAACTCCCTCTCCTGAAAACAACCTAAACATGACAGTGATTGAGACCGGGGTGACTGCAGTGGGCAATATAAGCCAGAGCTCCGGACCTGGGAAATTCAGTTTCCCCAGTCATCAAAGAAAACGGCATATGCCTTCATAAGTATGCCATGAAGCTGAACCATCAGCTTGGAAAAAGCACAAGTACCTTAGGTCCTAACACTGGAAGCTGGTTTTCGGCAAGAGCAGGGCACCTCTAAGGAAAGTAAAACAGCAGCTCTTCTAACCGTCCAGACATCATGGGTACACTGAAGCAACCCCACCAGGCCAAAGTGCTATGCCTAGTTCCAGGAAAAGGAACTAAACAAAAGGAGCTGAGCCACTGAAACAAACACCAGGGGTTCGCAGACGCTCCCCAAAGTCCCCGCTTCTACTTCCTCTCCACCCTTTAAGCACTTGTGTAAAGATACCCTTTTTCTCTGCACAGGGATAAAATTCCACAGGGAAGGCGACTGGGCTTACGTTAAAGACACCACCTTGGGCTTCGGAGGCCCAGTACCCCCTGGGCCCTATCATGCTCCTCGCCTCCTCCAAACCACACCCCACGAGAATGAGACACAACTATGACTAATTCATTCACCAGCCTCCCTATGACTAATTCATTCCCCAGCCCCCCTTTAAGGGTCCAGAAGGGCTTAACGCATTTTTTTTTTTTTTTACGCTCTTTCACGGGAGGGGGATGGATGCTCAACCGAAACTAATCCCCTGTGGGTGGCCGAGCCCAGAACACGCCTCTGGAAGCCCAGAAGAGCAGGCTGCCTCGACTATTTCCTCCCCTCTCGCCCGGCCCTCCCAGCACTTTACCCAGCAGCGGTCTAAGCTGGTTTGGTCTTGGCTTCCCGTGGGTGAAGTGGCCAGATGGAAGATCGACCCTTTACGGGGTGCGGCACCGGAGCTGCGCCCCAAGCTGCATCTCTCTCCCCGTCCCGGCTAGGTCTGAACGGGGCAGCCAGTGAAGGGGCCGGCGGTGGCAGCGGCAGCTACTGGCCGCAGCGGCCGCTCCGGGCGTCTTGCCCCGGCCCCACGACGCGCCCGCCGGCCTGACCTCACAATGGCCCGTGGGGGGAGGGGACGGCCGCGCTCGGCCGGGCCAGGGGAGCTGGCGAGAAGGGAGGGAACTCGGGCCCGGCCGGCTGCGGGGAGCCCGGCTCCGAAACCAGGCCCGGCCGCGTCTGACCCGGGGCGGGGGGGGCGCCC